TTTATAATTGGAACCATGATAGCAGGGTTTCTGCTTTTTGACCCCTGCGACGTGAAAAGGAAGAAGCGGGTAAGGATAATGGATGGATGGATGGATGGATGGTATTCACAGCACCATCGCCTCCTCAGTCAGCCACATGGAGAAGTTTCTGTCTGAGGAAACATCTCTGCAGCTTTTATAGGTAATCACCTTTCATTCAGTGTGACAAGTGGTCTATTTGGTGGGGAGGTGTTATAAGACAGCTCATGGAGGTGGACTGAGTTTCCCCATCTGATCCTTCAACTCTCCTTTTGCATTTAAAGTGAACAAATGCAGAGAGCACAATACTGCCTCTCCAAGCAGAATTAGGAAAATTGCATTTGCACCAAATGCCAACATTTCACAACAACATGTAGCTTTTAATTCTCAGATAATTGCTGACATTTTGAATCTGCACTTGACTTTTTGTTTTGGAGCATCATCTTGTTTGTGCCTGGATATATATTCAGAAAGAGACCAGGCTTTATCTGCCTGCACCTGCTGCCAGCATGGACACACTGTTTAAATAAAAAGGCAGACATGCAAAGCAGGAAACAGCTAAAAGGTTACAGAGCACTGGAGGGGACAAAAATATACCTGACTCCAGCCTTCACAGAACAAGGTGTCTGTCTGCACGCAGCTCTTTTCAATACAAGGTAATATATATTTGGATGTATAGGGGGGAGGGGTGATGCTCTGCATGGTTTTAGCATTTTGCCGGTATTTTGCTGCCATCAAAGCAGAGCCGCCAGGTCAGAGCTGTTGTTCCAAAAAACAGCAAGACATTTGGCAATAAAACTGAACTGATGTTGTCTTGGAAATAAATAATTGTATATAACATTCATTGTTATATTTCTGATAAAAGCAGTGTTACATACATGGTGAACCCCCCCCCCCCCCCTCCCATCCTATCTACCCTCAAATAAACATTTGTATAAATGGAGATTGTTTAACTTTATAACTGTTACGAAAGGTGTGGGGTTAACTTCTCAGACGAGCTAGAATTCAATTCTTTTCAGTTTGTAGCCCCAATTCACAACAGAAGTTGTCTCAGCGCACTGAACAAAATACACACATACATAATAAGTCAATTAGTAACGTTATTTATCTAAACAGGTTGTGTTGTCTTCATTTCATCACAGTCTCCCATCCTGAGATAGTACAGAGGCAACAGTGGAAAGGAAAAACTCCCTTTTAACAGGAAGAAACCTCCAGCAGAACCAGGCTCAGGACAAGTGGTCATCTGCTTTGACCGGCTGGTTTGAGAGGACAGGAAGGAGAGACAGACACATAGCGGCAGGTCCAGGGTGGAGGTGAGCAGGTCTTTCTATAGGAAGAAGGACAAAAAAAAAGAAGAAATAATTACAAATACAAACTATTTGTATTAATTTGTAACTATTCATTTGAGGAAATGATGTCAATTTGTCCTCCAGCAGTCTAATCCTATAGCAGCATAACTAAGGGATAGCTTAGGAAACCAAGCCAACCCTAACTTTAGGATTTGGTGAAAAAGAAAGACTTAAGCCTAGCAATGTGTCAGCCTCACAGACAGAAACTAATTTGGTTCCACAAGAGAGGAGCCTGATAACTGAAAGGTCTGCCTCCCAGTTGTGGAAACTCTAGGAACCACAAGTAAACCTGTCTGAGAGTGAAGTGCTCTATTAGGAAAATATGGAACAATAAGATCTGTAATTGGGCAGCATGGTGGCACAACTGGTAGAGTTGCTGTCTCTCAGCGAGCAGGTGCCCGGTTCGGAGGCCTTTCTGGGTGGAGTTTGCATGTTCTCTCTGTGCATGCATGGGTTTTCTCTGGGTACTCCTTAGATGGCATTAATCTGTCCTCCAGCTCTAATGTTAAAAATCTTGGTGTTATTTTTGATCAGGACATGTCTTTTATCCCCCACATTAAAAACGTTACTAGAACCTCCTTCTTCCACCTGCGTAACATCACTAAAATTAGAAACATTTTATCTAAAAATGATGCAGAAAAACTGGCCCATGCATTTGTCACGTCTAGACTGGACTATTGCAATGGTTTATTATCTGGGTGTCCACATTCATCTTTAAAATGTCTTCAGTTGATCCAAAATGCTGCTGCCAGAGTCTTAACTGGAGTTAGTGGGAGAGATCATATTTCTCTAGTTTTAGCTTTTCTCCATTGGCTCCCTGTCAAATCCAGAATAGATTTCAAAATCTTACTTCTAACCTACAAAGCCCTCAACAACGTAGCTCCATCTTATATTACAGATCTTATCTTTACCAACTTCGGTAATCTTCGTCCAATCTCTAATCTGCCCTTTATTTCCAAAGTTCTTGAAAAAGCCGTTGCTAGTTGCTAGTGAGTTGCTCTCACCTATCTAACAATAACATTTATGAAGAGTTTCAATCTGGTTTTCGCCCCCACCATAGCACCGAAACAGCTCTAATAAAAATAACTAACGACCTTCTTCTTGCTGATGACTCTGCTCTTTTGTCTATCCTCATTTTACTGGATCTAAGTTCTGCCTTCGACACAATCTGTCATTCTATCCTCCTCAACAGACTAACCTCCATTGGCATCTCAGGTACTCCGTTAGACTGGTTCAAATCTTATCTCTCTGACCGCACTCAATCCATTCAGCTCAAATCCTTTCGTTCCCAGTCTTCCCCCGTCTCCACGTGTGTCCCTCAAGGCTCTGTCCTCGGACCCCTCCTCTTCATCATTTACCTCCTTCCTCTAGGTCACATCTTCCGTAAATTTGGTGTCCATTTTCACTGTTATGCTGATGACACACAGCTCTACCTGTCAACAAAACCAAACTCCATCCTCACCGACTGTCTCAATGAGCTAAATCACTGTTTTTTTAACAACTTCCTACAACTAAACAGTAACAAAACAGAAATCATTCTTGTCGGTACCAAAAACTCTTTCAAAATCAGAAAATATTCTCATCCCCCTTAACAACTCTCTGCTACCCCCCTCGCCTCAGGTCAAGAGTCTTGGTGTCATCCTCGACACCACTCTCTCCTTCACTTCACACATCAACAACGTCACTCGGTCTGCCTGTTTCCATCTCAGAAATATTAACCGTCTCCGCCCTTCTCTCACACCCCGCTCCACAGCTATCATTGTTCACAGTCTTGTGACTTCTCGGATTGACTACTGCAACTCCCTTCTTTATGGCCTCCCCAACAAATCTCTCCAGAAGCTGCAATTGGTCCAGAACTCAGCTGCCCGTGTCATAACTCAAACCTCCTCCTATAAACACATCACTCCAGTCCTGCAGCAGCTCCACTGGCTCCTGGTTAAATCACGCATCGTCTTCAAGATTCTTCTTCTCACTTTCAAAGCTATCCACAACCTTTCCCCTCTTTACCTATCTGACCTCCTACACATCTTCATCCCCTCTCACTCTCTCAGATCCTCTTCTTCACTACACCTCCATGTACCCTCTGCCCGCCTCTCCACCATGGGGAGAGGGCCTTCACCTGCTCTGCTCCTCATCTCTGGAACTCTCTACCCCCTGACTTAAGAAACACCACCTCTCTTTCTATATTCAAGACTGCTCTGAAAACACATCTCTTTAGACTCGCTTATCCTTAACTTTGCTGTATGTATTTTATATTCTTTATGTATTTTATATTCTTTATGTAATTTATTCCTGTTGATCTTTGTTCTTACTGTAAAGTGTCCTTGGGTGTCATGAAAGGCGCTTTTTAAATAAAATGATTATTATTATTATTATTATTATTGTTCCATATTTTCCTAACCGAGCACTTTGCTCTCAGACTGCAGGTTTACTTGCGGTTCCTAGAGATTCCAAAAACAGAATGGGAGGCAGATCTTTCAGTTATCAGGCTCCTCTCTTGTGGAACCAACTTCCAATCTCTGTCCATGAGGCTGACACATTATCCAGTTTTAAAACTGGGCTTAAGACTTTCCTTTTTGCTAAATCCTATAGTTAGGGTCTGCTTGGGTTTCCTGAGCTGTCCCTTAGTTATGCTGCTATAGGCTTCGACTGCTGGAGGACAAACTGACCACACTTTTCACTCTACTTTACTTACTCTGCTCAACCTGTTTTGTATTTGTAATTATTTTTTCTATCCTTAACATGTGTTTTTTGTCTTTCAGGTACACCTGGACCTGGCTCTGCTGGAGGTTTCTTCCTTTTAAAAGGGAGTTTTTCCTTTCCACTGTTGCCACTGTGCTTGCTCAGGATGGGAGACTGCAACGAAGCCAAGACTCAACTTGTCTGCTGGATTCCTTAGATAGAGAACTTTACCAACTGGTTTTATGTATGTGAATGTTTGTTTCTGTAAAGTGCCCTGAGACAACTTTGTTGTGATTTGGTGATAAATAAACTGAATTGAATTGAATTACTCTGGTTTTCCTCCCACAGACCAAAAACATGCATGTTAGGCTGATTGGTGACTCTAAATTGTCCCTAGGTGTGAGTGAGATAGTCAATGGTTGTTTGTCTTGTTTGTCCCTATGTGTCCCTGTGATGAACTGGAGACCTGTCCAGGGTGTCTCCCGCCCCTCCACAGTGATTGCTGGACATGGGCACCGATGACCAGTTGGAAGAAGCGTGTAAAAGATGATGGATGGATGAAGATCTGTAATTATAGAAGATGGAGTTCCTTACACTTTAGGTGGACCTGAGTAGAACAGAGTACTCAGCCCCAGCTGTAACACCCCCCCCCCCCCCCCCCCGACCATGCAGCCGTTATCACCTCTATGGGGTGTGGGGGGGGGGGGGGGGGGGATTAGGCTGCCACACGGTGGAGCAAATATGCCTCCAATCCAACTTTAGACTTTTTTTTAACTGTTCAGCAGCCCCCTCCCCTTTCTATAAACTGAGAAAGTTTTATAATTCCAGTTCTGCACCTTCAGTCTGCAGCTGGGCTCAACTTCCGTCTTGTTTTGAACGTTTCTATTGTTTTGACTTTTATTTTCATTCCCCGCTGTGTGAAAGCAGAGATGCTCCTGTAGCCTGAGCACCATGATCGTGGCCAACACGAGCCGAGGCGGCTGCGCGCAGCTCGGCCTCTCTCTGTGCGCCGCGGACGAGCCGCCGCAGGAGGGGGGCGCCTCACAGCGGACCACCCTCAGCCCCACGGGCCACTTGGTGGTCGCTGTGTGTCTGGGCTTCATCGGCACGTTCGGGCTCGTGAACAACCTGCTGGCGCTCGTGCTGTTCTGCCGCTACAAGCCGCTGCGCTCCCCCATCAACCTGCTGCTGGTGAACATCTGCGCCAGCGACCTGCTGGTGTGCGTCCTGGGGACTCCGCTCAGCTTCGCCGCCAGCACGCAGGGCCGCTGGCTCCTGGGGGAGGAGGGCTGCGTGTGGTACGGCTTCGCCAACTCCCTCTGTGGTGAGTAACTGCGCTCCCGAGCTGAGCGCGTTCGGTGCGCGAGCAGGTTCCGATCCAACAAAACTGAAAGAACTCCAGTAATCTGACTGCGGGTCCGGTGCGCCTTTCTTTTCTTCTGTCGTGATTTTAGTCTCCATTCAGAGCCCGACATACACTGAGCTCACTGCGACCAGCACGGGAACCGAGCCAGAACATGATCCAGATGCTGCTGCTGTTCACAGCTGTCTCGTTCAGGTGACAGATGATGGAGCTGCGTCACAACCCGCTCACTTTTATACCGACATGACAGATGCTCCGTCCAGATGTTCGGTTAAAGCTCTGACAGATGCTCTCCTCAGTCCAGATGTTCGGTTAAAGCTCTAACAGATGCTCTCCTCAGTCCAGATGTTCGGTTAAAGCTCT